GCTCAGTCATCAGATGTGTTTCCAGTAGTCCCTGGGATGTACTTGAAAGAGAAATTTGGATGAGCAGCTGTGACACAAGACTGAAAATATGTATTTATATTTGTTGCAAGTAAACCTCTGACAGCGAGTTACTGTATTCACTCTTACGTACATACTTCAAAAAATGTGGAAGTAATTTGATTGTAAACATTAATGCAGTGCTGGATAGTATTCAGGAAAGTGAGCAATCTGGAGCTGTGTGTGACAAAAGTACAAACTGCTTTGATGAGTTGTCAGATTGAAGTGAGGAGTGAATGTAGATGAGCATTGAGAATGAGTTTTCTGCTGTGAGAGGTCAAGCACGTACAGGTCCCCAGACCTACCTTGCAGTATGTGCAGTATACAGACCAGGGATGTCAAATATAACACCTGGTAGCCAGAACATCAGCAGAACATCTGTCTACTACCGAGCTGCAAACTGACCAATTGAACGGTTTTATCGCGTCCTCCGTATGAACTCCTGTCTGGCAGGAAGATGTGTACTAAACTGGACATCCTCCCTTTGCCTTCTACGGTGTCTCCACTGGATGACTTTGCACGTCACTCAGTGAAGAAAAGTCAGTTTAAAATGCAGCATGACGCTGATCATAAGAATCATGCAGAACTTTCTACCAGGTGAGAGAGTGAGGATAAGGAAACCATAGAGGCTGAGGTCTATCACACCAGGCAAGACCCCGGGTGCAGGCTGTGCAAAGACGCCACTGAGACAATCCAGCGCATAACAGCACGGTGCAAGATGCTAGCAGGGATACATATATGTGTGTGTCGTGGCTGTATAGCCGCATAGCAAAGTTGGATCCACAAAGAGAGTCACTGAAAGATTTAACAGTCTTTCATGAGAATAAGGGTGAACACAAGGGTATGTCTCAGGGATGATCCAGGTCTGGGTGGAAAAAAGGCTTCCATTAGAGAAGGAGAACAGAGTTAGATCCAGGTGGTGTTGGAGAGGCAGATGTTGTCCAGATCAGGACACTGGTGGACAATACCTTCCACCCACTCCACGAGGTGCTGGCCAGTCACAGGAGCAGGTTCAGAGACAGAGATTGTCGTGGTACCTGGTGGTTGATCCAGTGTTTTAGTTTTGGACTTTTTGTCACTGTTTAGTTTCCTGTGTCTGTTTCCTGCTTTTTTGTGATTGACTTTTGTTCTGTGTGCATGATCTTTAGTTTAACTTCCTCTGTTTCATTACTTAGATTTATTCCAGCTGTTTGTCCACCTGTTTCCCATTTTCTCATTATCCTGCCCATTTAAGCGCTCAGTTTGTTCCTGCTTATTTCAATCATTTATGTTCAGTTCACTTGGTTCCTGTAATAAAGGACCGCATCGGTTCCAAGCCAGCCAGCCGAGTCTTGCATTTCAGTCCTCTCTCTGTTCCCACACACCTGATTGTGACAGAGATTACCTTAATGCACCACTAAATGACACAGGAAGTCATTCCTGCCTGTGGCTGTCTTCCCCATTCAAAGCACAAGTACAAACTGCAACAGCTGCACACTGTTATTATCTGCACGTCCTCTACAGAGATAATAAACAACAGAAGGGCACCTCAGTATCAGTCATGTGTGTTTAATTTGATTAATGGGACAATGGTTAGAGCTATCTGTACTGATTAGAGCAATTTTGTTATATTTTGTAACTTTGTAATATATTGTATTTAGTTTGATTAGTTACTGTTCTTGCTGTCTTGGAGCAACTGTGACAAAATCATTTCCTATGAGATTAATAAAGTAATCTGACTCTGAGTCTTGTTCAAAAAGTGATCATTTGCGTGAATTCTTGTTCATCTTTGTGTATTGGTAGCAGGCTGTCTTTTTGTTGTCATTCTTTAAAAAAACTCTTTTGTAAGTTATTTTTGTTCATTTGTCATTATGGAGTCACTTTAGCTGTGGTTTCAATTTACTGAAAAGTTCATATTTACAGTTGTGGTCAAAAGTTTACATACGTAAAGAATATAATATAATGGCTCTACCGAGGGTCCCGTTATTTCTAAAACTCTAAATTTTCTCTGATAGAGTGATTGGAACAGATACTTTGTCACAAAAACATTCATGAAGTTTGGTTCTTTAATGACTTTATTATGGGTTAACAGAAAAAAGTGATCACATCTGCTGGGTCAAAATTATGCATACAGCAACATGAATTAGAAATTTTGGTGACTTAGAAAGTTGTCAGTGAACTGAGCTTCATAGCATGGCCTCTTAACTTCTTGTGAGTGACTATGAGTGACGACAGCTGGTGACTTCTCCTAGGCCAGTTAAATAGGGCTCACTGGATACAAACGCCCACAAACGCCACAATGGGAAAGTCAAGGCAGCTCAGCATGGATCTGAAAAAGTGAA